CAGCGGCCTAAGTTAAGCCTGGCCTAACTAAACTACGGTTTAACTTAGGCCAGGTTTAACTTAGGCCGCTTTCGAGAATACCACCCATTGAAAACATGTTGAATTGTGTATTTCAAGCATCTCACTATTTGCTAACGGTGTCGTTGATTGTAATCATAGAATTAAAATAGCATTGTAGAGACGATAAACAAATAAGTATAATAATACAACATCGTTGACCGTGGGACGGTTCACTTCTATCTCTCTCTGTTAAAGATAATATGTCCCTTTTGCAGCCAACATCAAATTCTGTAGAACTTTGTAGGAATTATGAATATGTCATGAACATGTATGTACTATCTGTGAAATTTAAACGTTAACAGTGTCCTAATATTCAAATTATGCAAGGAAACTCGTTTACTTGCTAGACTTCACCGTCAGACACTATTGAGTGAGTGACTGGCCTTTTTCCTTCTTTGGTTATAGCATACATAAAATGAGCTGTAAAGAGTACATGAGCATTTTGTCTAGATCAATCAGGGGCGTAAATCCCGGGGGTGGGGGGATGCATTCCCCCTCGCTTGAAGGAGGGGGGGGGGGGGGGCCTGTACAAATATCCCCCCCCCCCTGAGATTACAAAATAAAGAGAAAAAAAGGAAGAAGAAGAAACAAAAATGTGATTGTTTCAATTTCATCATAATGCATGAGAAATGAGTTATTTTTTTGTATGTATGTATAACTGTATAGCCTTCACGTAATACAGTATGTCACGATCATTAAGAGTATTTGCGCGACGTGCGCGAACAAGAATTTCATAAACTTCAGTATAATTTTTCGTTATTTTGCAAGGTATTATTATATCCCAGACGTAAAGTGCGCCAGCGTGCGAGCGCTTAAAAAGTGCAATCATGTACACTAGATGCCCGGCCCCCTCCCCCACTCAGTGTTATTTAGGGTACGCGTATGCTCGTTCCCTCCCTTTGAAAGCACCCCCCCCCCCCCCCCCCCCCTCTATCTCAGGATTGCCAACATTTCTGAATCCTCCTTTCGCCGGCTTTTCGCTGGCTTTTCCTGCCTTGGAGACCCCCCCCCCCCCAACAACAACAAAAAAAAAACCAAAAAAAAAAATCCGGAACACTGCTTAATGTTCCACCCCCCCCCCCCCCTCCCCTAATTTCAGGTGATCGAGGGGGACTGGGGGCCAATATTTTTACTTTTCAAAATGAAATAATCCTGAATGAGCTTTCAAAGCTAGCAGGAATTTCAGGCATTTGATCCCGGGATGTGATCAATTTTTCTATGATATTCAAGATATTTTATAACCCCCTTTTTACATTTCTCAGGTGTCCAAAGAGAGAGAGAGAAAAAAAACCACCCCCTTTTTAAAGAAATCTCCGGGTGAAAAGTCAAATACACCCATTTTGTTACAATTCTCGGGCCGGATTATGTCGCACGAAAAAGTACCCCTTTCCTGGAGATTTTAGGAACGCACATGCGGTCCCTCCGACCCCGGAGTGTGTGTGTGTGTGTGTGTGTGTGTGTGTGTGTGTGTGTGTGTGTGTGTGTGTGTGTGTTGGGGGGGGGGGGTAGATGAAGACTGAAGTTCCAGGACTGGCGTGTTCAAGACTTACAGTGGCCGTTTGTCTCTTCAGTTATTTCAAGTACACCCCATCGTCTGCTTTCTCTAATAATTTAAGAAAACGTCAAGGCTTCCGCGCTTCGCGCGAGAGGGGGGAAACTGAATTCAGATAAATAATGCTTATTAAGAGTCAAAAACGGTACATCGAATCGTCTGCTTTCTCTAATAATTTAAGGAAACGTCAAAGCATCCGCGCTTCGCGCGAGAGGTGGAAACTGAATTCACATAAATAGGGCTTATAAGAGTCGAAAACGGTGCAACGAATCGTCTTCTTTCTATAATAATTAAATCAAACGTCTAAGCTTATCGCGCTTCGCGCGGGAATGGGAACCTGAATTCAGACGAGAATTAAGAGTCGAGAACAGTACACCCAATCGTCTGCTTTCTCTAATAATTTAAGGAAGCATCAAGGCTTCCGCGCTTCGCGCGAGAGGGGGGAAACTGAATTCAGATAAATAGGGCTTATCAAGAGTCGAAAACGGTGCAACGAATCGTCTTTTTTCTATAATAATTAAATCAAACGTCTAAGCTTTTCGCGCTTCGTGCGGGAAGGGGAAACTGAATTCAGACGAGAATTAAGAGTCGAGAACAGTACACCCAATCGTCTGCTTTCTCTAATAATTTAAGGAAACGTCAAGGCTTCAGCGCTTCGCGCGAGAGGGGCAAACTGAATTCAGATAAATAGGGCTTATTAAGAGTCGAAAACAGTACAAAGAATCGTCTGCTTTCTCTAATAATTTAATGAAACGTCAAAACTTCCGCGCTTTCCGCGGGAGGGGTAAACCGAATTCAGACAAAGATTTAGAGTCGAGCACGGTTTAACAAATCGTCTGCTTTCTCTAATAATTTAATGATATTTCAAAGCTTCAGCGCTTCGCGCGGGAGAGAGAGGGAGAAACTGAATTCATACAAGGATTAAGAGTCGAGCACGGTTCAACGAATTGTCTACTTTCTCTAATAATTTAATGAAACGCCAACGAATCGTCTTCTTTCTATAATAATTAAATCAAACGTCTAAGCTTTTCGCGCTTCGCGCGGGAAGGGGAAACTGAATTCAGACGAGAATTAAGAGTCGAGAAGAGGAAACCCAATCGTCTGCTTTCGCTAACATAAACAAATCTTCTATGTGGGCACGCCTTGAACCATAATGCATGGCCCTACAGAGGAATTTTTCCTGTTGGGGACTGGGGAAAATTCAATGAATTATTGAAAATTTATTGCATTTTCTTTGTTTTTTTCGTTTTTATGGGGGCGTCGACGTACCCTAGCGCCCACTGCGTACAGTCATGATTCATTGGCTAAGCAATGGCCTCATTACTGTGAGCCCCCAGGATCAAAACCGTGTCGATGTGCTATATTAGTGCCCTTTTATGAGGCATTAATCCCCATTACTATCAGTTATGACTTAAGGACGTAGGTTCTCTAGTTGATTAGCATAGTAGCACACACATGCTTTAGCAGTCGCGCAAAACAAACACTCCCAATTGTCATTCAATAAAATCTGAGAATGTATACTATTATCTAGATCTATTAGGAATAAATCATTGTCAAAATCATTCAATAAATTGGGGTAAAAATAATTATTCCACCATTATGACCAACAGTGTATATCTGTAAAGCGCTTTGAGAGGGCCTTCGGTCCTGAAAAGCGCTATAATAAGAACTAGATATTGTTGTTAGTATTACCATAGGCTTTTATACATTACGTTTAGGCCCACCACTATTGTACTACTATACTCCACTCAAGTTAAGCCAAAACGGGAAGCGGGTAATTGCCCTTCCCCCTCCCCCAGCCATAATCAGAGATGATAATCAGAGAGGATCCAATTTAGCATACAATATTAGTTATTCAGTGGCCGGCGTAGTGAGCCCACACATTAATATGAGGCACTAGAACTTGGGGTTGCTGGGGGAGGGGGCACTGTATGCATGGTCTTACTCGATCGGAAAAAAATAAATGCGAATAATAGGGCCTACTACTGTTAAGGGGCCTGTTAGGGACCGGGGTATCGATGTCCGTTTCCTCTTCTTAATTCTTCGGTTAACACCAATATTTATCGGCCCGATTGAAAAATTGAAAAATGTTAACCCCCCCCCCCCCCCCCCCCACTTGAAAAAATCCTGCGTACGCCACTGCCTGGATGTTTATATTTTTATGCATTCTTATTGATATACAAGTTATTGATTAATTGCTTCGTTGGTGATTCGAGCAATCAGTGTCAGTTTTGTTGTTAAATAATATTTCCAAAAAGGGTCACTCTATCTCTGCATGGTAACGTTAACTGTTCATGCACTTTTTTTTTCCGAATCCGTCCTATAGCCACTACCGTCTTTTCTGGATCCCCACCCCTTAGTCTTTCTCTCTCTCTCTCTCTGTCTCTCCGTTCTTACCTTCTCTTTCTCCCCCCCCCCCCTCTCTCTCTCTCTCTCTCACACACACACACACACACTCTATGCATCTCTTTCTCTCTCTCTCTCTCTCCATGTACCCCGGCCTCACTCTCTCTTTCTCTCTCCAACGGGATCACTCTCTCTAGCTCTATATTATGTGTGTGTGTATAAATGTCTCTCTTCGATCCCCTCTCCCTTAATTTACCTCTGGCGCTTCGCCTCCACCCCCCCCCCCCCCCCCCGCGCCTTGCGATATCCCACTCTCTCTCTCTCTCTCTCTCTCTTTCTATATATGTATAAATGTCTCTCATCCCCCTCTCCCTTTACCTCTGGCGCTTCGCCTCCCCCCCCCCCCCCCGCCTTGCGATATCCCACTCTCTCTCTCTCTCTACATATATATATTATATATGTGTGTGTATAAATGTCTCTCTTCCCCCTCTCCCTTAACCTCTGGCGCTTCGCCCCCCCCCCCCCCCCCGCCTTGCGATATCCCCCTCTCTCTCTCTCTCTCTCTCTCTATATATATATATATACATACTGTGTGTATAAATGTCTCTCTTCGATCCCCTCTCCCTTAATTTACCACTGGCGCCTCGCCTCCACCCCTCCCCCCAATTCCTATTTTGAGAATGAAAAAAATACGGATAAAATAGAGCTCCGCGACAATATAATCGAGTCTTCAATGCATGCATTCTTGAAGGTTGACGTAACCGACTCAAACCAACTCCTTGCTCAAACTGAAATTGCATATCACCCCTAATAATGTACCCAACGTCTGATCGCGTAGCCTAGCGAGCAAAACACCCCTTTCCTCTGACAAAAAATTACGTGACCTTTTGAAACAACGCAAAAACCGGTACGTGAATATTTTATGTGCGTGCCTGATTTTTGTATACACACAGCCGTATCGTGCATTCATAATGCGACGTGTACATGCACGAGGCTTCGTCATGCATTGAGTTCGTTTAGAAATAGGCGGTATTTGCAGCTTTGCATGAGAGTAGACTCGACCAAATTTCACTTCTCCCTACGGCTTGAATTGTACGTTTATTGCTATATTTCATCCATGTTATTTCTATTTAGCTGATCTCGATTTCAAGAGGGAAAAACAAAGGCTGACATGCACGAGAGAGAGCTATTCTAAAACTCTATTTTTGTCATTGAACCTGGATTCTTCAAGCACACGAAACCGTTTCTGGTGAGTTTATACACTCCATGTATTATACACACACATGTGTAGGTTCTATGCGTACATGGCATATTATGAAACCGCATGGTTAAGTTATATTATGCGTGGTATGTTTGATCTCAATGCCATGCGCTCGCGATCAGTCATGCGCAGTGCCTTGATAATAGATTGTGGTGTGTAAGCTGTTTTTATGGGATTTAGGAAAATAAGGTTGTATATATATATATATATATATTATATGTGCACTTCTTCACCGAGTCAGCTAGGTAAACAAAATCGTCTACGTGCGTGACGATTATAATTAATTAATTCTGCATGAATTAATCAAGGTACCTTAGATCCTTAATTTTGTATGGGAACTAGAAGTTAGCACAAGTGCTAGTCGATCCTAGTTCCATTCTTTGGCAAGATTTTTTTCTGTTAATTTGTTTATACATAATCACATATGAATGTAAAACTTTGTTTTGTATCACATATATACAGTATCATGTTACTGTTATAGCAAGTCCCTGGTTTTACATACTAAAATGAAAAAAGTTTAACTAAGTATTATTTAAGTATTATAATAAAAGAAGACAAATCTATGAACAAATAAAATCATCAATGTGTTCATAAAAATTAAAAGGATGTATTAATAAAAATAATCATACAGATGTGCGTACAAGCACAAATCCTGTAAATGCTTAAGGCAGCTATAGTCGTTAACAAGCAAGGATTGTGTACAAGGAAGACAAGTAAAATAAAATAAAAAACGAAGGGGGTGGGATTGAGCCCACGTCATTTAAATAGAAAGTAGGTGGAAAGATGTCTCCGAAAGGATAACCTCGATGTTTTTAATCTTATTTCATCTGGGAGATCATTCCACAGTGTTTAAAATAGTGAGAATTGCTTCAAAATCGGTTTGTCAATCATGTATTCTCATAATGATGGGCCAGCTTAATTAATTAATTGCTTCTTTGACTTTGGTGATTCAAGCAATCGTTGTCAGTGTTGTTGTTAAATATGTATTTCCAAAAAGGGTCACTCTCTGCATGGTAAAGTTAACTGTTCGTACGTGCACTTTTTAGTTATCCAAATCCGTCGCTGATAGCAACTACCGTCTTTTCTGGAACCCCCCCCCCCGTTCTTACTTGCTCTTAATTCTTCCCCCCCCCCCCTCTCTCTCTCCTTCTCTCTCTCGCTCTCGCTCTATGCATCTCTATCTCGATCTTGATCCGTCTATAATATTATTATGTATCTCCCTGTAGGCTACGTATATCTTACCCCCCCCCCCCTCTCTCTCCCTCTCTCTCGCTCTCGCTCTATGCATCTCTATCTCGATCTTGATCCGTCTATAATTATGTATCTCCCTGTAGACTACGTATATCTTAACCCCCCCCCCCCCCTCTCTCTCTCTCTCTCTCTCCCTGTACCCCGGCCTCGATCACTCTCTCTTTCTCTCTCCAACGGGATCACTCTCTCTCTCTCTCTCTCTCTCTATCTCTCTCTCTATATATACGTGTACAAATGTCTCTCTTCCCCTCTCCCTTTACCTAGCTCTGGCGCCCCCCCCCCCCCCCCCCGCCTTGCGATATCACCCTCTCTCTCTCTCTCTCTCAACTACTTCTCCCCAATGTACGTCACACGACCTATTTTTCCTCTATTCCCTCAGTTCCCCAGCCCTCCTCCTACCACCCCGCCTCCTCTACCACCCCATCCATCCATCCCTACATACCCCTTTACTCATGCTTTCTTAATTTCCCCCGTTTCAGTCTCCGGGTTTATAAAGTGTGAAATAATTTGTAAAATTACTGATCAAGCCAAAAACAACCGAAAGTTTTAACAGGATCACTTCTCACTTCCGTATGCACTTATGCTGATACTGTTGCTGATTCTGATACGATTTTGTTTAACTCAGAGCCCCGTGAATGACCGGTATTTTTGTTTTTAGTGTATCTGTGTGTTCCCTTTGTAATGTGCAGCCTGTTTCGTTTCCGATGTACGTATTTTTTAAAGATTTGGATAGAGATGTGAAATAGACAAATAGATAGGTAAATAGATCGATCAGTAATAAAACATCTGTGATACTTACATAATGTATGAATGCAAGAATTAACGAATACATGAATAAGTAAGTAAAAAATCTCGTTCTTTGGGCGATCGTCGCACTTTATATTCATTTCATTGTCCTGACAGGCCGAACCTTGTTGCAGGGCATTATTGCTTATATTCCTTATATTGCTTACTCCGTGATTTTGCTGTTCTCTTGCATGGCACCTATACACCGCCGTCACGATAAGTCAATCTTAAATAACAAATTCTGGCAACAACTTTTCATATCTTACTTTTTTCTCTTTATTCAAGATGTCGCCGAGCATTTAGAGGAAAGAACTAAACCAGATGTAGGCGTAAAGAAAGCTTAGTAGTAGGCCTACGTGGTACTGGTTATCATTTGCCCAATATGTTTTTATTCATCTTCAGACAGGCCTATTATATTCAACACTTTATTTTACCATTGCCATTGTTTGTTTAGATATCGTGAAGATGCCGAAAACAGGGAGGTTCACTATAGAAGAACGAATGGCGGTACTGGAGCTTATCAAACCCAAAGTGATTTTGTTGGACGCAATAACGAGTGATGCCCATTCCAGCGATTGTAAGAAGGAAGCATGGGAATCCATCACCAAGGAGTTCATCAAGGACCGTCCCGGTCGACAGGACCTGACCTCCAAAGAGATCCGGGAACTTTGGCGACGGATGAAACACAGAGCCCGGATGGATGTCCGCCAGAGCATCCAGAGCGCCAAGGTTGGACACGTCCGCACCATATCAGAAGCGGACAACAATGGTTGGCTTCCAGACCACACGGGTCACAAGGTCATCGACATCAATGACCTCGGCTTGGACATGGATACCAAGTTCATCACCGATTTTGTGCCGTTACTCGAAGAAGAAGCGACCGTGCTTGAGACTCGGAATGGTGTTCTGCTTGATAAGGAAAAGCCTGGTATGGTGGAAAAACGACGGGCGTCCAACTCTCTGCTTCCGAACGAAACGCCAAAGATTGTTAGAACAGATTTGGGCGCTGCTCCGGCAAAGAATGCCGGTGGCGATTTCTTTGAGGTTGATATCGTAGAAGTCCTGGAGACGAGTACGTCAGGAGTGAATGCAGTTCTAAGTGATCGATCTAGCCCAAAGTTGGAAGCTCCAAACCTCCTTGCAAAGTAGGTGTACATGCGAATGTTGTGTATGTCAATATCTTTGATAATTCAGACCAAATATAGAGCCAAGCCGAATAATCGGCCAACTTTCAGAATGATTTTCGACCGATCGAAGGCTCTAAATATCAAAGGCACCGTCAAACAGTATTTACATTGTAGGTAACATTAACAATTGAAAGCATTTTGGGAGCACAAAGAATAATGTAATTATTTTTAAGTTTCCGGATTTTGGTGTACGGTACTGTATTTGTACTTAATTACATTTCATAAACGTATCCTGAGCCTTTATTGACAAGCAGAAGGGCGTTAATTCCGTATTAAATGATATACGTTACTGCCCTTCTGGCTCTCAGCACACGTTCTATTTTTGACCTATTTCGGTTGTTTCATCTTTACTTTTACCTCCATTACCGTAGACCAGATGACAACACATGTTGGGTCATGTAATTGATTGTTGACATTCGTGACTACTTTTCATCAGGTTTTCATCAGGTATTGGGCAGGAGAGAAGTTGACCCTCAGTGGTATTCAACACTCATCCTCATCTCCCTCTCCTATCTCCCCTCCCCCTTCCACAACCCTTGTAAGCTTACATTCCGTCCCATTTGTGGTCTTTTCACATTCATTTTTTTCTTGTATGTTTTTTTCTACAGAGTTAATATCCCGTGTGGTATTCAGATCACTTCCGTTGTGAGTCAACAGCCGCAATTCCAACCAGAAAATACGAGCCAGAGTGTACCCCTCAAGTTCGACCAGCGGATGAAAACAACCACGAACTCGGCTATGAAACCTACAATGAAACCTACAATGAAATCGACAATGAAATCAGCTGTGAGCTCGAAATTGAACTCGAATAAGCACTCAAGTATAAACTCAAATATTAACTCGAAAATGCACTCGAGCAGGAACCCAACGATGAGCTCAAACAAGCATCCGAATATGAACTCAACGATGAGCTCAAAAATGAATGCGACCACGGCCACGGCCAAAGGCACTAGCAAGGACCTGACAGATCTGTCCATCCAGTTCTTAAAGCAGGAGCACGAAGCTAAGATGGAGCTGATTCGATTGAAACAAGCAGCGGCCAAGGCCAAGAATGATACTGCCAGAGCGAAGAGATCTGCTTACGACGAGAAGCGAATGTTTTACTTTGAGAAAAGAAAGAAATTACACGATGGGGTTTGACGTTGATGTAAACAACTTTTTACTAATACAGTCATGTTTGATACTATTAACGGGAGAACAGCTTGCCCAAGTTTGTCATGAAGAAACAAAAACATGTACTCCGATACTTGTTCCATTTTGTTAAACTTGTGAAGTTATCGCCCTGAAGATCATTATGAACTAAATATACACGGGGCGGCGTAGAAAAGAAGAATTGAAAGAGAGTAAACACCTCAGTCAAGGACGAAACAATAGATCTTCCTTTAATATTTTTTTTTGAAAGTGCAAAATTGTGCCACTTTGAATACCCAGGCAAAGATTTTTTGTTTGGACAATAGCGAAAGTGCTATCCGTGAAAAGTTACGTCTCGTTTATATCAGTAGGATTTTAATAGGTAGAGCCATCGTCTTAAATAAGAATGAGCCTGACAATATGATTAATCTTTCATAGTTATTTGCTTTATATTACATATGCAATCATAATTGATCATCACAAAGCTGAAGTTCTTGGTTTACATCGTTTCTTATAATGAGATGATGAAACTCAGAAAGTCTTTCCAAATCAAGTCATGGAGTATGGACTCTTGAAAACCATCGGATATTCATCCCAAAGTCATTTACGACTGTTGAGCGCATATGCTGTACACTATGGTTCTTCTTGAAACGATGGAATGATAAGTGAACGATGGGGTAGATCAGAATTGTAACGCATTTTGTTGCTTAATAGAACAAGATCAAATAGAAAATTACATGACAAATAAATCGGTTGAAATTTCAAGTTTAATCACTTCAATTATAAAAGACATTTTTTTATCTGATCACTATTGTAAGATATAAATATTGCTATCTTAACAAAATAACCTTCCGTACTTACATGTATGTTTCCATACAAATAATTATTCAAGAACAATGACTAACATAATTAATAAATAATATTTACAGGCATTTCTATAGCGCCGTCTATCTAGAAATTCTATTCCGAGGCGCATTAATAAATACCCCGACTTTAGCCTAGCTACCATTACATCGCTCTAACATGTCAAGTGATTAATTCCTGCCAGGTACCCACTTACCTCACCTGGGTCGAGTGCATGTGGCAAATGAAGATTAATGCGATTGCAATGTCAAATATAAAATTAAAGATAAAGGTGAGTTCTGGTAATGCGATTGCATTGTGAAAGAAAAAGTGTGGAATGAATGAGAAAAGTTGATCATATAGTATGTAAGTATTGGTGTGTAATGCAAGGTTCTGGAGTCATCAAAATCATCATAAATTTGGCCCAGTTTTTGGTCAAGTAACAATCACACTATAGTACTACCTTGATTTCCTTATCTTTCTATGCTCATTACTCAGCCAGTTTGACACATGACATTTATTTGTAATTTTGAACATTCAGTGTAAGTTTCGTTAGATTCTGTGAGAACTCATTTTTTTTTTTTTTTTTTAACCAGAACTCAATTTATCTTTAAAACGAAATGAATGATATGCTTTCCTCTTGCACGTTGATAGTGTAATGAAGTACCGACAGTAACGAAAAATGACTATTAAATGGCCCGCACTTTGTCCCTGTTGAAAATTCAACTTGACTTCCTACAGATTTGATAAAAAATTACCTGAGATGTTATATTTGTTCTTTGAAACACATGAAGTTGTTGCACAGAATGTGTAGTTCGAAGAAAATAATTGAGTAAATTTTGTTTTTAGGGTAAATTATCCAGTAAGAAAATTCTAGTTCCAAACCCTTTCTTGACCACTGTTCAAACCACTTCAAATGGCGAGTCTTTTTTCATGACATTTCGTTGCCTAGTGTTTTCGTCTTGATGTTTATTTTGATATTAAAAGTTGCGTTTTTTTTTCTTTCTTATGTATGTCTTTATGTACTAGTATTTCTTAGGCACTAGAACGGCTTATTAAATCGAATACATTGGAATCAATTGGAAAACAATTACGGAGGGGGAAACGAAAGTTTTGGATGAGAAGGTATACATGAAGTAGTAGAGCATGTCGAGATGGTAAGCGAAGACTGGAAGAGAAGCTAGCCAAAAGAGTCAACTTGGACAGCGTTTTGCAACTTTTTTTTTTTTTTTTTTTTTTTTTTTTTTTTTTTTTTTCTTACGGCACCCGTTTAAGAAATAAGTTTTTTTGCGCCTCCCTAATCTCAAATTCATTTACAAAATATCCATCTTGCATCATTCTGACACTCCCCATAAATTTCATTGTTTTTCGATTTGGTAAAAAAAATTACTCTAAGCAACACACTTGATGAAATTTAGAATGAAGTGTGCGGGTACCCTGCCAAATACGGAAATCATATATGAGCGGTCACACACGCACAAATATGAGGATATTCGGGTATTTCATTGCCATCCTGTTTCTAAATTTTGCGATCGAGTGAAGCTAACGAGCATGGTAAAAATGTAATTTCAGTAGAAAGGATAAAATATAAATTCTGGCACCTCGCTGTCCAAATAGAAGGTTATTCGGGCATCTCGTTGCTCAAATATTGAGGTATTGAGGCACTTCGTTTTCTGAAATCATCACGTTTCTAAAGATTGCGAGCGAGCTGGAAAGAAATACACTTTATTATCTTGAAATAGTATGTTCTCTAGCCGTTTATAATATTTGTTTTTCACGAATTCGACAATATTCCAAAATAATAACAATTTTTGTATTATTCAAATCTCTCGCAGCACCCGTCTTGTGGCACCCCGTTGTGCGGCGGTACCCCGGTTGAAAAACGCTGAACTATATAGGAGGATAAGATAATGGAAAAGGGGAGAACAGCAATAGATAAAGAATATAAAAAGCTTTTGTAAGATAATTGTTGGCATTGTGATATATATGCCATATAAAACATGCACCCGATTGATTTCTAGATCAAAATTTCATTACCATACCCAGTCAAGGCAGGCCTCACACAACCATATGAAATGAAACGGGTCATTTCCAATCATGTATGCCTACACGTTAGCCAAAAATTGACACAAAAAATAAATAGAAAAGCATATGATTATCAACTGATGTGACTTTAAAAGATCTAACTCAAATTTAAAAAAACAATCACAGTTTATTGCTTTATCTCTTCTAAACCGAGTCCCCCTCTCCCCCCTAAAAAAAAAGAAGTAATAATAACACTTAAATACAATGTAATATTTATATCACGAATGAATGGAACAAATAAAATTGATCGACTATATAATGCACCAATCGACCATTGACGAATTTTCATCAATCTACAAAACTGGTCAGTAATTAACTCTTCGAACATCTATTAATTACCCGAGGTACAAAAATCACGTAACAGTACAACGCAACAATACAAATAATGATAACAATGAAAGCAAATTGAAACGTTTATAAATAATCCTACATATTCATAGCACATACATGTATCTATTACACAGAGTCCATATCAAGATAAGTTCATTTGGAAGATTGCTTCCATTGGAAAGGGTACGAGTTGTGATGTGTAGTCCTATAACTCTCTGATTGACCTTACAAATATCTAATTACCTGAAACAACCTTTAATCTCTTGTAGAGAGGGCATAATTATGATTATCGAAAATTCGTAAATGTCTTTTTCCGGTACAGCTTAATGAACTGTGAATGATGCAACAACTTGAGTTTTTATTCAACCCTTCGGCGATTCTTCTTTAGGTTTTTTCACATCTTCCTTTTGAATCTCTAATATATGTCCTTCGCCGGCAACGACATCTTTCTCTCTAAGAATCTTCTCGAAGAGCTCAGCATCCCGATCACACACGTGCCACGCAACATTCCAAGGAAGGTCTTGGATGTCGACTCCAATATTTGTATACAGAGGGTACAGTTGCACACTCGGTGTGCCATAGTAGAGGTTGCTCAGGCCATCAGTTTCCATGCGCTCTTTGTAATGGTTTAGAAGACATACCCTGTGATTGAAAAAAATTAAATCAATAATCAATAAAACATTAAAGCTTATTATCAGTGCATTCGAATATCCCGCAGAGAGTGGTGCAATACAAGTACTTCAACCCCCCCCCCCACCCCACCCCCCGCCAACCGGCCCTGCCCAACCCCCTCCCAGTTTGAATTATGCCCTGACAAAATATGACCACAGTGTGGCTTTAGAATATTTACAAAATGTTCCAATGTGAACACACTATAATCACACTTTTTATTTATAGAGGTTGATACACAGAGATAATCAACATATGTACATTTACCACAGTGTGGCCATATAGTGTGAACACTCTATTCACACGTATGTACTATATTCTGTAGCATGGCATGTTGTTTGAGTTGGAAAACATCATAGTGTGTAAACATTGAAATGTAACCACAGCTTAGGTATAGCTTTCAAAGGAAATAACCACACTGTGAACACACTGTGTGACGCTTTTTGCTTTACGTTAGGATAATCCATGTAAATACGTATAGTTACCTGTCCATATTTTTCTTGGCGCTCTTATGGTGATGTGGAATGACATTGTAGAACCCGACCGGTCCCCAGGGCCTAGTCTTGGACAGCCCCTTGGCTCTTATCCGACCCAAGATGTCGTCATCTTCTCCTCCCCAGCCCCAGTAAGCATTGGGAAACCCGTTAAATTTCTCGATCTGGGTCCTCGTGAAACCCGTCACAGCCCCGAAGAAGGCCCCATACAGTAATCTGTGAAATGAGAATAAAATAAATGAAAACGAATGGATTTATACAGGTTGAGAATCGCATGATATAATTTCTCTTGCATCTGAAAATCGCAGGTCAGAATAAGGAGGCTTCTGCTTTCTTTATGTCGTATATAGACTGTGGTAAAGATTAATTTTATAAGGTTTATTTTTAATAAAATAAGTCGAAATATGATGGGGTTTTTGAAAGAAAAGAAATGCAAATTCTAGACGAAAACAGAAAATCGTAACATTTGTGTTCTTGACATCGAATAGCAAAGTTAGCACGTTTTTTAAAATTCGGCCTGCTCATCAGCCTGCTAATTAAAAGAACATTATGACTGGAAACAGAAATCATCACTTTACGACCAGTTCAAGTGAAATACTGGAAGTTCTTTTTAAAGTCAGTAATGACAAAGATAAACTCAAAATATTTGAGAATTTAAAAAAAATGAAAATATCGTTTGAAAATGAGTAAGGCTTCAGAACACTGGCGTACCTATGGGGGGGGCAGGGGGCACAGTGCCCCCCCCCCCCCCCTGACGGGCTCCAGGGGGAAAAAAGGGGAAAAGAAAAGAAAAGAAAGGAAAGGAAAGAAAAAGAAAAAAAGGAAAAGGGAAGAAAAAAGGAAAAAAAGAGAAAAAAGGGGAAAAAAAGGAAGAAGAAGAGAAAAGGAAGAAAAAGGGAAAAGAAAAGGAAAGGAATAAAAATGGGAAATTTTTAAAAAAAAGACCATGGCCGTACGCACCAGGGGGGGGGGCAGTTGACCCCAGATATTTTGAAAACGTACAGTTTTTTTCCTGAAAATGTAGTGTAGGCCTATACCAAATCCTTCAATTCTACTTTTGAAAATGCAAAAGTACCCTCATGACCAGTTCGGTCGCTCGAACTCCCTTCACTCCTTTTGCTTTTGAGATTCTTCGAAAACTTTTAACGCATCTTTCCCCCTCCCCCACCAGAAAAATATTCCGCATACGGCCCTGAAAAATTAAAACAAATGAAAATAGGAAAATATAAGTGATATAACAAATTCGAAACTCTTCGCTGGCGCGAACTGCTTGCTAGCCTATTTTGTATTAAATGTTTTCACTTGCTCGTCCCCCTGAAAAAAGAAAAGGATTAGTATTGCCTAGAATACAATTGTGCCTGCCCCGACGGGCCCCGACCTGCAACCATGGCAACAATAACACAATATATATGTACCAAATGTTACTAAAAGAGACTAATTCATTTTTCTCGCTCGCTAACTCGCTCGCGAATAAAATGAATAGACATTGCTTTGGAAACAATTCGTCCTTGTTTTCACGAAGTGACGGTAGTGAGGAAAATCGTAACGCAAAGTGAATGCAATTTTTTTTCACTACCGTCACTTCGTGAAAACAGCGACGAATTGTGCCCACCCTTGACCTGCAACAATATCATTAAAAATGGAAGAGTTTTTTCGCCCTCTCGCCAAAAAGGAATTGAATCGCGTTAAACGCGATTGCGTCCATCCTGACCTGCACCAATAAAAACAAGTTTATTTATTTATTTCTATTAAAAGATACTTTTTTTTTTTTTGCTTGCTCGCTATGCTCGCTCGCCAAAATGGAATTGACACCGCTAACGTGCCCGCCCCAACCTGCAACAACCAGTTAATAATTATGTACCAAACGTTATTCAAAGAAGTTTTGGTGTGCTCGTGCTCGCCAAAACGGAATTAACATCACCTTAGACATGATTGTGTAAGCCCTGCCCTGCAACAAAAAAATCTGAAATTTATGAACCAATTATCATTACAAAAATTTTGCTCGCTCGCTACGCTCGCTCGCCAAAATAGAAATAACACCGCTTTTAATAATCACGTCCCTGACATGGAACAATGAACCCAAGTTTATATACCATATTTTCCCTATAAAAGAGAAGTGATTTTTTTTTTGCTCGCTCGCTAGTCTCTCTCGCCAAAATAGAAATAACACCGTTTTTAATAATCACGTCCCTGACATGGAACAATGAACCCAAGTTTTATGTACCATATTTTCCCTATAAAATAGAAGTGATTTTGTTTTTCGCTTACTAGCTCGTGGAATTATGTGCCCACCACTAACCTGCTACAATATCATTAAAAAGAGAAATGTAAGGGGGTTGCCTGCCCGCCAAAATGGGATTGACATTGCCTTAAACACGATTTTGCCCGCCCCCTACCTGCAACAATGAAACAAATTTTATATAGTAATTCATTGAGAGAAAGATGTATTTTCGCTCGATAGCTAAAATGGGGATAAAATCACCCTAAACACAATATTGTTCCCGCGCCCTGCATGGGACAATTGTACCATATTTTCCCTATAAAATAGAAGTGATTTTGTTTTTCGCTTACTAGCTCGTGGAATTATGTGCCCACCACTAACCTGCTACAATATCATTAAAAAGAGAAATGTAAGGGGGTTGCCTGCCCGCCAAAATGGGATCGACATTGCCTTAAACACGATTTTGCCCGCCCCCTACCTGCAACAATGAAACAAATTTTATATAGTAATTCATTGAGAGAAAGATGTATTTTCGCTCGATAGCTAAAATGGGGATAAAATCACCCTAAACACAATATTGTTCCCGCGCCCTGCATGGGACAATTGAACCAAGTTTATATAAGTGGCAATTATTAAAAAAAGAAGTGATTTTTTTTCTTGCTCGCTACACTCGTTTGCAAAAAAATGAAATTAACGTCGCTAACAAGTGAATGTTCCCACCCCCAACTTGCAACAATACCAGTTTATATACCAAACGTTACTTAAAGATTTTTTTTTGATCGCTCGCTCGCCAGAAGTGAAAATTAGCATCGCCTTTTTTGTTTGTTTCGGTCGCTTGCCCCCCCCCCCCCCCCTGACGGAGTACCCCAGGTACGCCACTGCTTCAGAAAGAGAAGCTTTATAATAAAGACAAACAAAACATGAGTATAAATAGTTCTTGCAATAACATAAGAAGTCGACATTAGTCGTTGGCTATGCAGCCGTGAACATGTTAAGCAAAATCATGCGAAATAAAGAAGATGTTACAGGCCAGGCCTACTTACCTGTAGTTCCACCGGTCGACACCAGAGACGAAGTGTCGAGGCATGCCGCTGCAGCCGTAGAGGTTACCGTAGTTGAGAGGTATATGGTCGACATCGTGAAAGATAAAACAGTCGAACATGGTGTAGTTCAACGCCTCGACGAAACCGACGTTCATTAACATCGCCCGGTTAAAACGGAGATCATTCTCCTAGAGAGAAAGAGAGAGAGAGAGAGAGAGAGAGAGAGAGGGAGAGAGATTGTGAAAGCATAAACCAAATCTTCCTTGATTCTTTGTTTCATATAGAGCCATAGTTCAGTAATGCGAAAGATTCGTATATGTTAACGTATTCTTTGACAGCAATTTGTGTCAAAGCTTTTCGTCTCTTTTCAGTAAATGATAAAGCTTATAAAATTCTTTAGATAAAACAATACTTGTAAGGAAAAAATATGATAATAGGACTAATTTGTACTTATTTTGAAATTTGACTGCGCTTCCTTTTCTTATCAAAAGCAATCTCAGCACGCAATTACGATTCATTTGATTGAGGCACACGAAATGTCCTATTTTAAAAAGCTATTGAACATAGAAAAATGAGAAATAAAGAGGTTATAAAGAGGAAAGAAGGAAAGAGGAATCTGGAAGGCTAACCTGTTCAATGACAAAGATGGAGAACTCGAGGTATTGGCTCTTGAGGAATGGAACAAGATGAAGAAGTAAGATTGGAAGGTGCTGGTGCCTGTCACGAAAAGGTATCACTATGGCTACCTAGATAGAATAATGGAGTAAATCAGTCGAAGTACTATTTAGTTAATGTTTGTATTATTTTCAATGTGAACTGCTTCCTTTCTTTCTGTTTGTACTAGCTCCGGTGGGGGAGGGGTCATATTCCCTATTTTAGATGATAATGAAACATTTAAGATTATTTTTTTGATATTTCCCCCAATCAAGTAGCTCTGTATATGCTCATTTTCCCTCGTTGTATTCGTCTCGCCACCCCCTTTTTTTTCTTCTTATCTCTCTTTCTCTCTTTCTCTATCTATCTATCTTTCACCTATGCCAGTGCTCTCCCACTGTCTATCTTCCTTATCACAGCAGCAACTTTACATCAAAAAGGTTGCTCATGAAATGCACCGCATGATATAGGCCTATATTATGTAATATAACTCATAATATAGTTTGAATTTTTAACCCCATTCTGAATCCACAATTTCTATGTCATTGTTACAAGTTAAAAAATTCGCACTACTTATGTTTAATTATATTCAATGGAGTTCCCAGTTTTAGTTGGTAATGTTCGACGTTATGGTTCTAAACTCGTCAAGCTCTGAATTCTGTCCAACCTGAACCGGGTATGTCTATTTCAATAACCCATTCAAGTATTTTGTAGACGGTTTAATTCTTTCAAATTACTTATATGTCTTTTGCTCGATAACAATTTTACCTTCCATCTCGGTGAACACTTGGTTGGAATCCAGTGTCCTCCTGGCAACAAGATGTATTCCTCCGTCTCCAACCCATCATTCAACACATCTGGGATACCAGCTCCAGATGCGGTGTTGATCTTCCTCGCCTGGTAGAGCTTCTGAAGTTTCTCGTTGCTATGTTGGGTAAGCCGACGGGCATCCATGGTATGAGTGTGGAGAACGCGTTCTTCCACGTGGAACATTGTTGTTTCGTTGAGTTCATGAGTTAAATTTTTCTCTGGATGGAGATATTTTTAAATTCCAACTTTTGTTAGTCGAAAGAGACACATTTTCACAATTTAGAATCCAATAGCTAACAAGGAGAAGCACGTATTGATGTGGAAGGCTAATTGATAAGCACTGATTTGTCTAAGTCCTATCAGGAACAGTGTAACATTTCCCTAGTCCTATTAACGTGTTTTTTTTGTTCAAACAAACATGGATACACACAAAAGAAGTCTCGTTATTTTCAATATCGTTGAAACTGGCATACTTTATTCCTGTTATTCAACTAGAAATAGAATATTTCAATTTTCCAACATGCTTTCCTAGCACGCAGACTAATGTTGAACGTATAAATATAATGAAATGCTTAATATTGGGAATTTTTTTTAAATCAGGGATTGTTATCATAATTCTAAGTCACATAATCCGACCAATAACCCGTTTTTAAACCGTATGTTTAAATATTTTCAACGGATCTCCAAGTATTAGTTAGTATATGTTCGACGTAATGACTCTGAACCGTCTTCAAGCTTTGAATTCTTTCTTACCTGAACCGGGTATGTCTATTTCTGGGCACACTGGGCCATGGATTAATTCTGTGATGATAAAATAATGAAATGTTACTAAATCAAGAAAACTCTTCTTTAAAGCCCCACTATTTGTATCTACTTGCTCCCTCTATATAGAAAATAATACCTAATCGGTGACCGTTGGTCCCCCATTTGATCCTCTTTTTCTTACGTTAATTGAGAGCTAAGTTGATGAGATAGCCACCTGTCAGTGACCACACTTTGTGGTCTAATCTCTCCTGTCAGAACTAGTACAGACGGCCTTTAAAGATTTAAAGTGGAATCCAATAGCTCATCTAATAGATCATGTTAGACCCTTGTATATTGAAGCCGATACACAATCATTGATAATAAAAATGAATAGATGAATAAATACGTTTTTTTATTTTTCAAGTCTATAATAAATAAATGAATAAATAAACACAAAAATCACACAAATATGTAAATCATAAATAAATAGATTGAAACAAATTTAGATTAATAAAGAAATAAATAATTAAAGCAGCGGGATCGGGAACAAAAATATTGTCTTATTTAGACGTACATCAAACTAGTAACATTAAAACCGAACTTGTCCAAGTGTCTGTATGTTCTCCTCCTGATCTTCTTTCTTACTCATTAACTTGTGAAATGGTAAAGGGTTTCTTACTTCTTGCTTTGACGTCGACTGTTCGTGGTCTTGTGAAAGCTCCATCAATCTGATAAGATAACCTTCTCAGACTATCCACCAACCCCGATCCTTCTTCGGCTTCTCTTGCATAGCGATGTACTACACCAGGATGCCCTGCATGACAGTGCAAATCAATGGCATTTTCTTCATTACTCTCTTCTATCTCAACGGGCAATGAAGTATGTTATATAAAAACAAAATCTGTTCTAGATGTATTACATTTACGTACTGATGAACCGTTACATGTTTGAATGTTCTAGTAACAAATTTTGAATGTTCGCAACAGTTGCTGACAAAATAACCTCATCGAAGTTGTCCCTGTCACAGTATTTTTAAATGCTTTTACGGATTCAAGACTGAAATAACTCCGTATTATAATTTGGAAATAGACAGAATGGCATATAAGTTTTACGAAGATTGCATTTATTTTATTTAAAATGTTCTACATGACATGTAGACAGTGTCCAACAGTGATGACATGCCTATCTAGCTAAATAATTAATCGATTCTCGAGGTATTTAAAGAATTAATTGGAAAACGATGATGTTGAGTAATGACACCTTACCATAACTGGCATCCAGCGATGCCCAGAGGGCCAGCGTTGAAACGGTTGCCATGACAACCATGATCCAGATATACCAGAAGAAAGCTCTGCCGACGACACGCCCATCACTCATCGTATCCCAGATATGAGACATTACTAACCAAAATTGTGACGTCATTTCAGCGGCACGAGACCGCATTACTGCAGGTATTTGCAGCTTCATGATTGTCTTTTACAAGCTATGAGCGTGTCACAAGATTTGACGTTGTAAAAACCTGACGCTGATTTCGAAAGTCCCCTCGTTTTTCGTTTTGTTGCTACTTTACCTGTGAACAGAAGAGTCGAGATGAAACAGCGTGTAAGACTTCACATGACTGCTTTAACAAGATATTCTTTTTGTATAACTTTTCGCGGCATAAATACCTGATACAGATTTTTTTTAAAATTCAAATGTAAAGATTCGTTCATGAATTAGAATACATATAACAGCTCTATTTTCATCAGTAGACAAAAATGATAAGACAAATTTACTAACATATCCAAATGTCATGCATACATTTTTTAACAAATATTGTTCTTGACAACCTGTAGGCTTGTCCGAGGAGTTCCCGACATAGCAGCACATAATGGATGCTAAATGGATTCCAAGTATTGCAGTTCATCTAGTGCTTGTATTTAGAGAGAACATGGCTAATTATTCTTTCCAGATTGTTTATCCTGCAGTGATTGTTTGAACCAGTAATTAAAAAATAATCACAAAAAGCTGGAAGTCATCTTCAATAAAAAAAATCATAAATATCATTTGCACATAGTGGCCTGGTGTCGGCCCTACTTACCTTGATTTCCTTATCTCTCTATGCTCATTACTAAGCCCCTATACATTTTCTACCAAAATCGTTCGGCACATGTCATTTATTTTTAATCTTGAACATTCAGTGTATGATTGTTTGCATTCCATGATAATGCATTATCTATCATTACCAGAACTCAAGGTTACCTTTAATAACAGGTTAATGGAATACCTCGTTACTAAGGTACCCAGGAGATAAACATCCATGAATCTGAATATGTTTGATAGCTGTCCCGATTCTCATATAATGATCTTGTTTACCTAGGTGACATCAAATAACTATTCTATTTCATCACATGCAGGAGCACCAGTCTAATCAAACAAAAAACAGAGATCCTTAATCGTGCTAATCGTGTTTAAAAAAAAAAAATGTAATACAAATGTTAATCATAATAATTATAATAATAATAATAATAATAACCATGTCTTCTATAGCCCGGTATCCGGCAGCCCATGCATGCAGACGCTCACGTCGCTAGATCCATAATATCTACAAAATACACTCATTGGGCAGGGGCGGATCCAGGGGGCGTGGAGGTGCACGTCCCCTCTTTTTACCTTTGAAAAACACATATATTTACCTTCCCCCTTCTTGAAACGCCCTTCTGGTTCCAAATAGATGGATATTAAAAGAGATATATATACAAACTGTATATATTTCTGTCTTGGTTGCCACAATAAAGGAAAGATTGTGAATGTAATAACCACAACCAGATCAGTGGGTTCGTATATACTGACTGGAAGAAAAGAAACTAGGCCTACATAATGTAGTATAGTACAATATGAATTACCTTTATTTGTCCACATATTCTTTCCCTATATGTTGAATTTTGCAGAGATGTCATCATTATACTAGAACCTATCGTCCACATCAAAGCAGCTGTTATATCCGCTCCTCTTGGCAAGAAGATCTACTAACATAAAATGGTAGAATAGAGAAAATGTTCATGTATCTCTCGTCCCGTGTAAAACGCCAAATAATATAGATAGGTTATTGAGAACGTACTGCAACAAAGCAGTTAACTGTGGTTATTTCGTGGTGTTGTGCTACATGTGTAAACAAAAGCAGGGCTCGATCGGTCTGTCTTCTTCAAGACGAGATAATAAGCCACGTTGTAAAGTGTTTGCACCGGACAATCGTTATTGGGTTTCCCTGATTTATAAAGCCTTAATTCCAGAGGAAAACACACAATTGCATGCTGGAATGCATAACAATAGATGCATGCTCGTCTCAGACCATCTGAACTACGTGTGTTGGTATAAGTCCCGGGGTCTCAGTCATATAGAAATAATGTAAGCATGCGTGACAACAGGTATTCCAGACACCCCCTAAACAAGGATTTCTTCTGAAGCCAAAATTCATCCTAAATGAGGATTTCGCGTATTTTTTTTTGAACGGGTATTTCAAAATTGTGTACTCCTATAAACAAGTATTAGTATTTTAATTCCTTGAGCATTTTAATTCGCGATAGGGATTACCATTTAAGTTGTTGACAATGTAAAATAAATCAAATTGTGCTTCTGATGTAAAATTCACAATTAAAACATTATTTCAAAGAGAAGCCACAACATCAACCTGTAGTGCACAGCCATCATAAGTCCGTTGTGGCTGTCCCCCCTTTTGAGAATTGTTGCAAAGTTTAACCAAATTATCCCCATTTTTTTTCTCTTATCCTCAAGCGAGGTGATGAGTAAAACATAACGTAGGCTAAAAATCAAAGTATATTCAACAATTCTTCCAACTTAGTATTGTTATCTTTGCTAACACATTCATATATAAAAATAATCTTGTTTATTACCCACATATTTTTTTTTTTTTATTCGAGTCATTGCTAAGATTTACCGGGTCACTAGATGGTTTAGACCGCCATATGCACGCCTACTCTCTCGTAAAATTAATTTCTCACAATATAATATTGTGCATGCAGACAGAAATAGGGGCTCTTCAAATTGGCCGAATCGGTAATGTAATATGTAATGTCGTGGCGGACAACTTTCCCTTATGATCTAACATTTTTAAATCCCCTTTTCATTATGTTTGGCTAGGGAGGGTCTATATTCGCTTTAGATGACATATAATATATTTTAGTAATGCCCCGAAGTGAGAACTTGGCACCAAAGAGAAAAATCGAAATTAATGATATTTGGGTAAGCGACAAACAGGAGGGTTATCCACCGTACTTCATCACTGCATGACCAGACTATACATATTTGAGATTCACATAGACATAGTGGTTTCATATTTCAAGCATTCATGACTTTGTTATTATTGGTCCGATTACCATTTCAAATTGTTCACCATTCTTTTTCTCTGATTTGTCTGTTTTTATACAAATAAACTTATTACACGGGTTGGATTGCCCTCTTTTAAATAGAATCGACTTCAAGCTTATTGTTGTCCCCACACCATATACAAAGAAATACGCTGCCAATGCATGGCCTCAAATTTATTGTCGCATATCGAACATGATATATTTTCTCTTGCTTTTTATTAGCTCTAAACATCGAGAGGCCTAATCGAGAACAGTCTGAATAAATCAAATGTTTGATCCAACCGCGCATAGTAATATTCACAGGCCTATATGTTATATACATTAACTATTTTTATATTTCAAAATTGGTTTCATTTCATTGTATTTATCTGATTTGAGCTCGGGGACCTGCCTTCAATGAGCCTGAGGACTGTTCTTCCGTAGGACCGCGCTTACCAAAAAACAAATCATCAATAAGATTGCATTATGCAAAATAATAATGATGAATAAATATTTAGAAGAAAATACATGTAGGTAAAAAGAAAATCTATATTAATTCTTTTGTTTACTCGATATTTGCACTTCAATCAATATGCCTACATTAATATATTTGTATACTTACCTCATACTGTCGAAGATTGTAACAATTATACTGTACGATATATTGCAAATATCCAACTAACACGTCTTTGACTTTGATGGTATTCTTGTTAAAAACCCAAGTGATCAAGTGATCATTGTTTGGTCATGAAGACGATAATGAGGAGGTCCTTATGAGGTTCAAAGTACCTAGAAAGGAGCAATGCAAATATTAGCTCTCACCACGGCGATATCGCCACTAATTAATAATCACCCTTAGAAACTTGCATCCAGCTAGTAATCTCTATTGCACCCTCTCATTGCTACGTGCAAGTGCATGTATTATGTGCTTTCATGTCACGTATGTGTCTCTTAATTGCCACCCCCCCCCCCCCCTTGAGAAAAAAAAAATCATGTAAAAACACGTGATTTTTACCTTTTTGGGGGGTGCAAATTTTTAAATTTTCGAGGTCAAAAAAAAAAAAAAAAAAAATGTGCTCACTATCCCACTACCTCACTACTGGGTTTTTATCATGTTATCAATAAAGTTGATTCCAGATCAAATGAAATTAATTAACAATTTCTTGATATAAGTTCAAACACGTGCAATACTAATTGAAACCGTGAGAATACATTTCGGATAGTGACGTTAAAGGGCCGGGGGGGGGGGGTACTCATATTTTAAGACATATTATGTGCTGCTCTAACTTTTGGTCCCCCTTTTCACACACAAAAATCCCTAAACATGGGTCCGTTTTTCCCAAATTACCAAATCTTCGAGTGTATATGCATGGAGAACTCCCGAAAATTGTGGAAAATGGGCCTATATTTCGAGAAAAATCCCCCCAAATAGGTACCTTCTTCTGGCGAAATGACCCTTAAAAATGGGTATAGGTTTTGAGGCAGTGAGCGGCGAACCCCGTCCAAACCAAATCTGAGTACCCCACCCCCAGTGCTTCAGGCGCCAGACTGTTAGAGGCTTACTATTGTCGACACCATGTCATGCTATTATTAGCGGCAACAGACGATCAAATCTCTCAAGCGTTTGAAGTAGAAATCTGAAAGACTTTCCATTTCACATCAAATTATTTTTATTAAAAAAAAACATGAATTTATCAGATAAAGTCGAAGGAACAATCAAAATTACTAATAATTTGGAGAAGACGTTCTTTGCTTTCTTATTTATATTTGAATTACGTCATGGGTTGATCTATAATCTTTCGGAAATAGACTTTATGCTCATCCAAGGCCCAACAGGGTTGTTACCGCAGAACTGGAAAAAATGATTTCAATTTTGTGGTTGTGAGTTTGCGAACAGATATTTTTCTCACGTATACACCCATGTATACCTTCTCCGTACGCGTTACGTTTTGTTTTTCCCTTTATCATTTGCTTTATTTATGATACCGCACCTTGCATGCAAGACTGACTGAAGTTGGAACTCATGAATCCATCATGATTTTACCACGGATCTCTTGGTTATTGGGAGCCGGAAAAGCACTATGTAGTAAGTAAAAGCTAGTCGAATAATTTGTACACGTCGCTTTATATGTTAAAATTATCTGGTATTTGTTTAATTGCCATAATTAATGAATGCCGCTTGTGAAAGATGGAGCTCGTATTTCATGCATTGTCCTACGCATTCACATTCATGCAGTGTAAAATAATTGGTAATCAGTGATTTGAGCTTGAGTTTGTGTGTATCATATGCGTGTGTTATCCTATCGAAAATATAGTTTCATTCTCAACTTTCATGTTACAACTTACATCAATCACTTTATGTCACCCATACTGTACATAGAGATCTACACAAGTTATTAAGGAAAACCTAGGGCATCGGGGTTCATTTCATAAAAGTAAAAACCAACCATGATTTCAATACTAATTACTATCCAGTATCCACTCCAGCAAAGCATTGCCATTAGAGAGTCAATGCTAATGCGTATTGACCTCTAGGCTCTAGCACTGCACTAGGTGTTAATAGGCAGAATTGCACTAGGTGTTAATAGGCAGAATTGCACACACGAATAGTCCATGCACGCAATAAAGACGATGTGGCTGATCGGCAAGTTTGACAGTAGACTCACGATTTGAATTTTTAAATTATTCTTTCTAATATCGGCAATTTAAAAAAAATAGTATTTTACTGCTATTTATTTAGGTGTCATCAATTGTCACTAAAGTACCAATTTTTAGTAAAATCAGTTGAGTTTGGTACTATCAAGTATCGGCTAAAAAAAAAATTAATATGAATGATTTATGATGTATGTCTTTATTTCATTCAAACTGTTTCATAACTTCTTCATAAGGCAAAATATTTGTTTCATTTTACCAATTATCTGGAATAATTTCCTGGCTGAAATTTGCACAGCACCGCCTGTGGACGATTCTGTGATTGGGATCGACAGTCACGTTGTAAAGGTATTTATGAAAAGGCTTGAAAGTGTGAAAAAAGAGGTGTGTTAATTATTGTTTGCTAAAATACATTTTCTTTCCCCTTGCTCTAGATCCGCCACAGTTCTTGAATCCATACCTGGCTTCGACGACCAGCTACATACGTTGGGCTTCAAAGAAAGCCGGTAGTTCAAAGAGGAATACTGGCGGGAAGAGTCCAGGAAAAAGACTTGGCCCAAAGAAGACCCATGGTAATTGAAGATCAGTTTGTATCCGCAACTTCAGATTGTTTTCTAGATAGAGTTGATTATGTGCAATTATGCATCATAAGTTCTTTGTCAATTTATTTTGTTTGAAATGAAAAACTTCTTCATGTTACGTTTGTTAAACCATTAGTTCCATTGTCATATGAGGTTTTCATTTTTTGATCAAACAAAATGAATGAAAGACCAGTTGTAAAGCACCACTGCACAGAATAGAGAAATTGAAAAAAATCAACGCATCCTCATTTGAATTCAGTTTAGAGTATGATAAGGAACTGTTCATTATATTAAGTCAAGACAGTAAGATCAACTACATGTACAAAACAAAATGTACATGTACCGTATGTATTTGTTTTTGTTTTGTCACTATTGTTCAGATATTTTGTGAGTACCGGTAGTTTATTCTGCAATTTTAATCATGATTCATGTCATAATTCAGAAACATGTAATACCAGACTATTCCCATAATCCATTTTCTTTTTGTGCATATTTCAGGTCAATACGCGTATGAAAACCAGATACTGGTCCGGCAGAAGATGAACTTTAGATTCTACCCTGGTCAATTTGTAAGTGGTTGTGAAATAATTTTATTTTATAATGGATCCCTTAGTTCACCAAGGTCCAAAATCCTTGCCATTGTACTAATGTCATTTGGCAAGATAGGAATCTGCATTCTTGACTCTTGACTGAGAGTGTAAGTTTCAACTCCTAAATACATGTATCTGGTAGAGAAACTAACCCGTGAATGCTTTAAAACCCGTCTGTACTAGTTTGGCAAGGGGGATTAGACCACCCTGCAAGGCCACTGACAGGTGGTTATCTCATATCAGCTCTCAATTAACATTTAAGAGAAAGGGAATCATGGGGGACAAACGGTCACTGCTTAGGCATTGCTTGTTAAATATAGAGGGCGTAAGCAGCTATAAGTGGTGCAGTGGGGCTTTAAACGGACTTAGTATCATTGTTTAGATGAGAGAAAATGGTGCTAAGGTAGTGACCTCAATGCTAGATGTACAATTAAAGATAATCTGGAAGTTTGAGTGAAAACAGACTATTATTAATGATAACAATTGGGAAAACTGATCTGATCAGTTTCTTAGTTCTCCCAACTATATTACTACAGTTTAATTACATTCCAGACATTTAAGTGTTGAAATATTTGTAAAGCCTTTCTTATTTTCATGGAAAAAGGGTTGGGGGAAAATTGAAAAATAGTTGGGAGAATTGTCTGTAAGAGGGTGTTGTACAGTGACACCTTCAAAGAAAACCATAAATATCTTTGTGGTTTGAGATTTTTTTTTCCCCAGATTTTTTGCATGATAAAGGGTTAGTACAGTTAAAGGATTATATGATAAGTAACATTTCATACAAAAATTACGCAGTTTTTTTAATCAACCTTCAACAATGTTACCGAGTCACTTTTTCATACTGCGCAATTTTAAGTTGGCTGGAAATGGGATATAGTACCTTTAACATACAGATCAAAATATATCTTTGCGAATTGCCCCCTATCATGACCTTTGATCTTTGACCCTTCTATAGGTGAAGACAGGCAGAGACAAGACACTAGTAGCCCAAGTGGCTGGGACAATCCACTTCTCCAAAGAAAGATGGCATCCAAACCATAAGACCCAGTTTGGAAGGGAGATCGCACCACAGATGTCTGACGAGGAGATGGAGAGGACTTTTGTGCATGTCATTCCAGAGAAGGAGGTTGGCAATTTTACACTGGTAGAACAGGTGTAGGAATCCCTCTTTTTGGCAAGGTATTGCATTCTGGATGTCAGATGGGATGATTTAGGGAATATTTGTGCGTACATGTGATTCCAGAGGAGGAGGTTGGCAGTTTTATACCGGTACCGGCGACAGGTGAAAGAACCCGTACGTGGGTGGAAGGTTGCACCCCTGATATCAGATGTTGGTGCGGCAGAGAGGAACAATCAAGCTAAACGTGTGAGAACCCATTCGGTCGGGATATTCCACTTCCGTTGAAATGATGAGAAGAGGATTCATGAATGTGATACTGGAAGAGAAGGTTGGATCTTTCAAAATGATGCCATTGGAATGAGCAGTTACAAACATTGGAGGATTATTAAAGGAACATCCATTTGTGCCTGAATGACTAACTGCATGAGAATACAAATCACCATTGATGAACAATAAGACATGGGTCTTACTTACAAAACCTTCTGCTATCCTTCGTCAAAAGTAAAACACCCCTTTTGTTTTCAGTAAGGGATCAAAACAAGTTGAGGTTGCACCTATTCTGTGATGTTTTGCGGGGTGTTGAACTCTCAGTGTATGAAACCAATGGTGCGCAGTCTTTTACCAACATTCTATCATAACTTCATTTTTCATAAGTGATAATATATCTCACACTCAAATACGAGATAAGAAGTATATGGAATACCGTCCCTATGCTTCACCTTTTTAAAACTAACAATTCAGGCTCGGCCTTTTTAGAGAAAGTTTCATTGAGATGAAGTTGAAATGCCCCTCTTCCCCTCCATTATGTTATACAGGTTCAAAATATTAAAAAAACATTGCAGATATTGTATTAGTTGTCTCTGTCCCAGACCATGCTTCAAGTGGCTGTTGGTTTTCACCCAGTGTTCTGTGGTCCCTATTACACTGTATTATATTTGTTTTATGTGGATATACAGGAAAGCCTGCTTGTAGGAGATGAAGAAGCTAAACTATACTTTTACATCGGTGAGGATGAATAAAAAATTAAAATGAATTATTTATCAGACATCTACAGTGATTCTTTATTATTATAGCATATTCCCCTTTGTAAATATGAAACCCAGTACATTGTGCCTGAAGCATCTAATGCTGGTATAAAAGGGATTAAAGTGACTCGGTATCATTGTTGAAGGTTGATGTTGAAAATTGTGTATTTTTTGTATGAAATGTCACTTATTATATTCCTTCTACTGTACTCGCCCTCTAACATGCGAAAAATCCTGAAAAAATTCTCAAACTACAAACTAGATATTTATGGTTTTCTTTGAAGGCGTCACTGTGCGACACCCTCTAATAGTAAATTCTCCCAACCATGTTTGAATTTTCCCAAATGTTTTTCCATGAAAATAACACATAAGACAGGCTTTTACAAATCTTTCCAAACTTAAATGTCTGGAATGATATATATTGCCAGTTCATTGCTTTGTGACAATTAACATTCACCTAAAAATGTAATTAAATTTTGATAATATAGTTGGGAGAATTAAGGAATCAATCAGATCAGTATTTCCCAATTTTTATCGTTAATAATAGTCTGTTTTTACTCAAACTTTCAGATTATCATTAAATGTACATCTAGCATTGAAGTCACTACCTTAGCATCCTTTTCTCTTATCTGAACAATGTTACCAAGTCCCTTTAATGATAAAGTTGGAGAAAGAGCTTGATAGAATGATATGGGCTACAGGAATGTGGGGGAGAAAGTGGGATAGGAAAGGAGTATTTGGTCAAGGGTGTAAGGGGGGGGGGGTTGCAGAGATTAGGTAGGGCTCCACACTAAACCTTTGTGGAAGGGGTTCTAGATTGAACTTTTTTATATTCTGTATGCGTGACCGCTGTGTCAAAGCTTCAAAACATTTGGGGTCTGGACTTGGGTTTTGGACGCCCATGTGCCCTGGGCGCCTGTTTCACAAAGCCTTTTTTCAATGACAAATGACAAAAATCAGTGACAAATCTGCTGATAACCAATCAGAAGCAAGGATTTCAGTAGCTTATAACAAAAACTGTCATTTGTCATTGATTTTGTGAAACACCTCCCTGGGCGCCTGTTAGTGTCGAGCCCTGGATTACAGAAGAGAGATGAAGAGGGAGAGGAGACAGAGGACAAAATTGAGGGAAGGCATGATAATGTTTGTGTATGACTATGAGCAATATGGGGTTGCTTTTAAACACAAGTTTCAAAGCACAGTGAAAAAGGGGGTGCATCACAGGTTAAAATATAACAAAAAGGGAGACTTGTATCATTTTTTTCCTGACAAAACAAAAGTTAAATTAAATTCACTCAAGGGATCTAACTTCATCTTCCTGTAGACCCAGGGATTTTGAAGTGCAAAACTTTGGGATATTCTAATTAGGTGTGTTGTCCTATACCTTGCCTACAAATGTTTTAGTGATGATAGCTTTGACAACAGGGTAATATACCATTTAAAAAAAAAAAAATAAAGCTTTTTTGCCTTTATTCAGATTTTCATCATTATACAAAATGATGAATAGGAACACAATTGTTCTTACAGTATAAACATATATGTAGTACATTGTCTCATACATTATAAACACAGACATCTTTTACAAATATTTTCCATAAGTATCCAAACTAATATAGTACACATTCAATCAAGTGTACAAATTGTGCTACAATTCCTTCAAAAAAGGAAAAGGTGACGGTAATACTTCATATTAATATTTTTGGATACAACATTATAAAAAGGAACAATTTTTACAACATAATATGCAAATTAATTAGATCAATATAAATTAAGCATTCTGAACAAAGAGTTTCTTATATAAACAAAAAGTATAAGGTGAAGGTGCTGCTTCATAACCCATGATAACAACATTTTTATATTTACATATAATGATATGGTGCTTTTTGTTTAACTCCTAGATTTTATTATAACTATATGAGGGTCTTGTATCAGTAGAGGTCTGTAACTATACCGTTATTAAAAAAATAATAATATAAAATATAAAAAAACAAGCAAACAACGATAGAAGATAAGTGTCCGGATCGATGAGAAAGTGAGGGAGTGAACAGGAGTTAAAATATATATACAATCAGTTCCCCTGCCTTAAGGGGTAAAATTTTCTGATTTTTGATAATGTATTGGCAGTTTGTCCTTTAATTTTGCTTTTCCATGTTCAACTTTTTTGAGTTCTCTACAGCCTTACATATTTCTTTACTAGTTGGGAACTTTCCATTTTTACGATTACTGTAAATCATATATTTGACCAAAATCAATACATGATTAAACAATATATCATCTTTCATATTTTTTCTGAAACCAAGCAACACATCAATCCATTGCTGTAATGTATTTTTTAACAGCGCCATCTTGCGGTAAAGGCGTACAGAAAGCGATTTCCAGTTCCTGTATCAAAGCATCATCACACGCACCTCGTGCAATTGGTAGTGCATTATGCGACATGGTCAGAGGCGTCCCCACACTTTTTCAGGTACCCCCAAAGTGCTATTTTTCCTTTCTAAGAACTGCCCCTTCCACTTCTAATAAGTACCATTTTTTCTTATGATGGGGGCACCCCCCCCCCCTCTTTTCATTAACCCCCTTCACTTTCTCATACATGTCCCTTAATTCTCATCTCTGATAAATTTTCCTTTTACAATCTGATAAGTACCCCTTTTCCTTTGACAGCTGCACCGTTCTGTTTGCAATAATTGCCCCTTTTCCATTCTCATAAGTGCCCTTTTTCATCTTCGGTAAGTGCCCCTTTTGACGTACGAGAACTTCCAAGAAGTATACCCCTTACCACTAATGATATGTACCCCCTTCACCTCTAATAATTGCCCCTATTCAAATCTGATAGGTGCTTGTTTTATTTTGATGAGTGCCCTTTTTTGTCGTTGCAATTATTGCCCACTTCCACTTCTGATAAGTGCCCCTTTTATTTTTACACGTGCCGTTGTTCATCTTTGTTGAGTGTCCTTTTTTTAGGTGCAGTATGTGCCCCATGTTCACCTCTGATAATTGCACTCGCTCTTTCTCTATTTCTCCTTAGTCTCTTTCTCTCCCTCTCTTTCTCTAGTCTCCCCCTCCCAACCCCCTTCTCTCTCTCTCTCTCTCTCTGCTTCCACTTCCCGTCTCTTAACTGATCTCTGTTTTCCTCTTGCTCTCATATGCCTTTCCTCTCCAACTTCTCGACATTCTATTCAAAGACATTATCTCTCTCTCTCTCTCTCTCTCTCTCTCTCTCTCTCTCTCTATCTCTCCCTCTATCTCTCGCTCTCTCTCTCTCTCTCTCTCTCTCTCTCTCTTACTCCCTCTCTCTCTCTCTCTCTCTCTCTCTCTCTCTCTCTCTCTCTCTCGACCTAGTATTTGATGGATGAAGAAATGGATATATATAAATGTAGATAATCGATATACATGTACATGTATAATAGTATGTGCAAATATAGACGAGCGTGAGATGACGAGAGAGAGGGGAAGCCTTAGGGAAGGAGAGGGGAAAAGAGTGAATATTAGAGAGGAAGCCGTGCAGTTATAATCCAAAGAGATAGAAAGATAAAGAAACGGGACCTTTGAGCTGATAGATGCCACATCACTTGATTTTATTCATGGAGGATTAGGCAATGCATGACACTGGATAATATTTCTAATTTAAATGCCTTTTAACGTGTGATATTCGTTGATAAACTTTTATCCCGCAAATATAGATATATGTGATAAAGTTAGACACCCCCTCCCCCACCCGCCAAGGTCTGGCGGAGTTATCAGACCAACATTGAATGTATGATGTATTTAATCTTTATAACCCTTCCTTTGCGGGTCGGAAACTATCAAAAAAAACATGTCTCCTCAGAAAATACCTCCAATAAGATTCAAACAAATGTTACCTTATACTTATAGTCGTATGATTATGAATTTATATATCAATGTTTACATTGGAAATTAGATGTTTTATTTGTAAAAGGTCTTTTAAAGGGTGACACAACGATTACAATTAATGGTTAAAATTTGAATAGTCAATCATACCCTAAGGCAATATCTATGAGAGATAAGAGATTGTGAACAATGATAATAAACGTAATCAAACAAGTTGTCATCTATTCATGACAAGAATAATAATTATGAAATTGATTTGCAATGTCAGATGATTGAGTTGAGCCCATTCAGTCCCGGGTGTGCAAGTGTTTGCTTTTGAATCTCCAACACAAGATGCCACGTTCCTTTAAGATAAGGAAGATGTATATTGGTTATCGAGTCACGACAATTAATGTTGTAGTTTAATGTGTAACGGTTGAAAATTGATACAGTATAATACCGTTACTATTCACACTGCACTCCGTCTCCTCTCCCTAACCCCCACTTGAATCTTCTTCTTCTTGAATCTTACCATCCTCATTTCTTTTCGTTCTTTGCTATATACACCATCATGTTCTTCTTCACTTTTCTATATCTCATTTATATATAACATGGATTAGGTTTGTACAAATAAGAATTTAAAAAATTAGAATTAGAGGCCAAATCTTCTCCAATTTCCAAAAATTATAGCATGTTGTAAATAAATCAAAGGTTAAAAGACTCCAATCAGGTGATTTTCATGAAGAGCAATTTAGGCCTAGGTTTCGGTAATCTCGAGCACATCATTTAAATTTGCCGCACAGATATATCAGATACTTGTAGTTGGTCGAATTTAATTGGTAAAGCAACTGGTAATCAAGCAACTGGTAATCATCTACTGGTTTTCAACTGGTAAAGCAACTGGATTAATCAACTGGTAAATCAACTGGTAATCATCTACTGGTTTTCAACTGGTAATCATCTACTGGTAAATCAACTGGTATATCAACTGGTAATCATATACTGGTTTTCAACTGGTAATCATCTACTGGTTTTCAACTGGTAATCATCTTCTGGTTTTCAACTGGTAATATCAGCTGGTCTCAGATGTTAAATGGATTTTCAACTTGTCCCATGCAGTTGGCGGAGTTTCAATTTCAGTAACCTACTAGTCCCAGTTTAAAAGGGTATTCTTACTGGTCCTATAGCT